AGTGATTAGTTAAAGGGTGCCTATTTTACCCCATTTTCAAGATTTAGGATGAGTCTTTTGTGTCTTCAGAATGTGTCTGTAAAGTTTCAGCTCAAAACACTTAAGATTGTTTATTATACCTTTCAGAATATTGGATTTTCTGCTTCGAACACAATGTAGCTGTTTTTGTTGCCTGTGCCTTTAACGCTAGTTCTCCCCACTCACTGTTCTAATTTACCTGTCAAAGTGTAAAAAGTGTCAAAGTGTACCGCAATCTCAGGGCGCACTCACAATATGTACAGTTGCCTTGAACTAGGCCAGAGCACACTTCTCCCCCCTCCTTTCTCCTCTGAAGGCCCGCACTCACATTGCCTGAGCACGCTTATGTCATCGATGATTCGCTTTTCAGTTTAAGAAGTGCTCTTGTTTTGATTTCTTTATATCGTTTTAGTCATATGAGATGCAGAGACAAGCAGTCAAATATTTCGCCAAACAGATCAGCCGCTTTTGACGCTCATAAACAATCATAAAGTCCTTGTGCTGCAGGAATTAGGAGGTTTGCTTAAAGTGCAGCTGTCGTGCAGTGAGAGGGTTTGGGTTTTTAATAATCTACGACAGTTTGTGTTCATTTAACAGTATAAATGATTAATAAATCCAAATGAAACAGTCCCTTAAAAGGCACATCTCGTCTTCAGTTTCGGGCTCAGGCGCACTTTGCACTCACACTACAAGTGAACCGCGCTCTGGCACACCTCTTCCAAGCGGGCCAGGGCCAGCCAACTGAACTGTGCCTGAGCCCAATTCAGAGCACTCACACTTCTCAAACGATCCGAGAAATGGGCCTGGACATGTTTCGCATAGCATAGTGTGAGTGCGCCCTCAGTCTCGGCTGCGTCAGATAAACAGCACAGTGACCAACATGGAAGCAGATCTCAGGTCATTTTTGTGAGAAATACAACAGTAATTCACCAGGATTATTTGATGTATGTGCTGTGGAGTTAATTTAAACCTTTTGACGAGTCACACAAAGTGTCGTTACAAATTCACGCACACACACACAGCGGATGCGTTTAGCTTTGCACTGTTTTTGCATGTCAAATGTGGAAGGATTAATATCCACTGCTGTATGGATATCCGTTATGTTAACGAACAAGATATACAAGATTTAACATCCACAAACCAGGATTGAAGCGTCGTCTTTTATAATTGTACTGACATGCTACTGTGGTGAAAAAGATGGTAAAATTGCTGTAATTCATTAACATGCTCTGTTTTAAAAACGTTTTAAATTTGTAAAACTTATTCTTGATCCCAGTTGATGATGATTACAGAAAGATCACAGATATTTTAATCTCAATTGCTTTGTGCACGTCCTGTCTTGTTGATATGATTATACGTGTTACTACGGAGACATGTTAATACCCAGCTGTCAATCAATTCGCTGGCGGGAAAACCGCACTCCTACGTCACATTGCGGTGGGCCTCAAAATGGATTTGGATCCTATTTTAACATCAGGAAATTTTTAAAAAGGAGACCTATTGCCATTATATCACTCCGATTTGACAGTGAACACTCTATACATACAAACAGTTCTGTCCAAAAAGCTTACAAAAGATGATTTTCATCATAGGTGCCCTTCAAGGCCTTTTATTTTCTTTTGCATGCGCTTAATCTGTCATTATTACTAAAAAAAAAAAAAACAATAATAGTGTTGACTATTGAAATCAAAAGCACTTGTGATATCATTACTGAAAACTGATGCTACTGTAATTGTTCCGGTTAAAGATGTTGGTTTTTTCAGGCATAAAATGTGCATCATATTTTTTATAATATCAGCAGCATGTCATAAACCATTAGGCCGGTCGTTATTGCATAGAGTCCCATCTTAATGGGTAAACATCCACGTGTCACCATGGAAACTGTACAGAGAAACCCTTAATGGAAATCTGGTTTTCCTGGATACTTTGTCCAAACAAAAATGATAGGGAATTGCCAAGATTAGAGATCAACTGAGTGTGAAGCCTATGTAAATATTTGACATTTATACATAAATGCTGTTTCATATCTGTGACAGCTGACAGTCAAATAAAAATGAGGTCCATTTAGCAAGGTTTTGTTTTAAGAGCTGTGGACACTTGCGATAATATCCAAAAATGAATGCAAACATCCACAATAAATCTCTGGTTTATCCCACAGATTATCGATAATGCGCCTCACAAGGACTCGGAAGGAATTGAGGCTTGCAAGATCGTGTAGCAAGTGATCCTCCTGATCAATCTAGCTGACATGCTGTCTGTCATTTCTGCGCCTCGTGATGTTTCCCTCCACCCACTAGTGTAAACAGCGTTGCTCTCTGATCCACTGTTTATGTCATTATGTAACAAATACTCTGGACCGCAATCACGAGGAACCGGAGAAGCACATAAGTGACATTTTGCTCACCATAATGATGTTGTTTAGATTCTATATGTGTGTCTGCTGGCCACCTGAGACTCTGTGATGCTTCATAACCATTTCTGGAGGCTATTATCCACTACTATGGCAAAAGGTATAATCTGTATTTTGCTTTAACTATGAAGGCGCTACTTTTCCAGAATAAAAGATGGAGTGATTCTGCTCCTGTATGTTGAAAGCTTTAGTAAACAGAATCCAAATGGTGAAATACATTTAAGGACACACTGATGTTAGGTAGAGAAAGGCAAGTAGGTAGGTAAATATTTTGAAGAGCTGATAGATCATGATAGATCAGATTTATCACACTGCAAGTTTTTAGCGAGTTTGTAGCATGTTTCTACTCACTTCTAACGTTTAGCATGTTGCTAACATTATTTAACACCCTACACGTTTTGCATATTGTTATCATTTTAACACGATATAACACATTTTGTCACTTTGACATAGCATGATTTATTACATGGCTGACATGTTTTAGCAAGTTTCTAGCATGTTTCTACTCACTGCTAACAATATTTAACACCCTATAAGTTTTGCATGTTCTGCTCACTACTCACTGTTTTGCATGTTAACACGATTCAACACATTTTGCCACTTGGTTAGCAGGATTTATAACAATTTATAATGTTTTAGCACATTGCTAGCAAGTTTTTAGCATGTTTTTACTCACTGCTGACATGTTTAGTTTGCTAACATTATCCAAAATCATAGGGTTTGCATACTGTTAGCATATTAACAATTTAACACATTTCTGACGCTTTGGAAGCATGATTTAACACAGTACAAGCATGTTTAGCACATTGCTAGCAAGTTTCTACTTAGCATAGACATGTTTAGCATGTTGCTAATATTGTTTACCACCCTATAAGTTTTGCATATTGCTAGCATTTTAACATGATTTAACATTTCCGCCACTTTGGTAGCATGATTTATCACATGGCTGACATGTTTTGGCAAGTTTCTAGCATGTTTCTACTCACAACTGACATGTTTAACATGTTGCTAACATTATTTAACACTATGAGTTTTGCATATTGTTGGCATGTTGACACGATTTTAATCATTTTATAGTGTTTTAGCATATTGCTAGAACGTTTATAGCATGTTTATACTCACTGCAGACATGTTTAGTTTGCTAACATTATTTATCTGACATCCTATAAGTTTTGCATATTGTTTTGCTACTTTCTACAGACATGTTTAGCAGGTTGCTAACATTATTCATCACCCTATACGTTTGCATATTGTTAACAAGTTTCCAGCATGTTTCTACGAAATGCTGACATGTTTATTATGTAGCTAACATTATTTAACAAACTATAGGCTTTGCATGTTGGTTGTTTCTACTCACTGCTGACATGTTTAGTCTGATAACACAATTTAATGTCCTTTAAGCAGCATATTGTTAGCATGTTACGCATTTTGCCACTTTGGTAGCATGATTTATAACACTGCTGACACGTTTTAGCACATTGCTAGCAAGTTTCTAGCATGTTTCTACTCCCTGTTGACATTTTTAGTATTCTAACATTATTTAACATCTTGTAAGTTGTGCATATTGTTAGCTAATTATCAATTTAACACATTTCCGGCAAGCCTTGGTAGCATTATTTAACACGGTACAAACTGTTTTATCACATTGCTAGCATGTTTTTGCATAATTCTTCTCATTACTGACATGTTTAATATGTTCTTTACAAAAAAATTAAACACATTTGCAACATTGTTTGCATGATTTAGTACAATACGAACATGTTTTTAATTTAGCACATTGTTGGCATTTTTCTAGCATGATTTAACACTGCTTTTAGCTGTTTGGCTGGCTTAAAGCATGTTTTGTGAGAAACTTGCAGGGCTATGGAAATGAATACAATGACATAAAAACTAGCTTGTGACAAACAGCATTTTCTTATGTACGTTTCGCATCTTTGACAAGTGGTTGTGTATGAAATGGGCAGATTTAGCATTACATTTCCATAAGTTTTAAATATTCATTCATTCTTAAAAAATAAGAACTTGATTTGACCTAACTGACCAGTTTGTGTGCTTTTTGGTATGCAGTGGAAGAAGATGGTGATTTGAAACATTAATAAAAAATGACACTGATTTTATCTGACTTCGGCTATCTAATGTTAGGGTGCAAGGTTAAAACTTAAAAGCATTTGATCTGCAAAACGTTAATTATTAAAGCTACACTTTGTTTCATATGATGCAAATGACTACAAAAATTCAGTAAAAGTGTATTACAATAAGCTTTTGTCTTTCTACAAGTCATTATACAACAGCCTCTTTTTATTATTATCCTGACTGATATGTGCATAGCCCAAGTGCTTTAGTAAAAAGCACTTATCCAATATATTTCATAATGGGGTCTATAGGTTGCCAACTGAAGAGATTACGTAAAAGTGCTCGAGTCTCCAACCTTAACAAGTACCTGCAGAAAATTAGCATAGCGGTTTTCCTTTTCAAACGTTTTTTTGGGCATTTGTGTTATATTTTTGGTCATCATCATTCAGTGTACGACAATATTCATTCTCATGGAGAGTAAAATTTGTTGAGATAAAAATTAATCTACAGAATGATTTTAATTATTTTTTCTGAACTTTCACAACAAATACTGACAGATCAGATAGTTTGTGATGTCTAATTTCCATGCGTCCATAAAAATAGATTCATGAGAACAGATCACTGAAGCAGAATACAGGAAAGCAAAACTAATACATAAACACACTTGGCTGGAAAAAAGTTTACCTATTACAGCTCAAGAAACTAAACCATCTCCTTTTACAGCAAAGCTGACATTTTAAATCCAACACTAACATCATGAGACGATTCGTTAAATGTCACTTCAACTTTAGAATTTGAAGAAGGTCATAAAAACAGCCATTCTGCGCCAATGGCAAAGAAATGCAAGATTTTCGTCCACTAAATACTAAAAGAGCTAAAAACGTTTCTTCATAGTCAAAGGTTTTAAAACACCTTCACTAGTAGCGCAAATTTACAAACTGACTTTATAAAGCACCATGAAATGAATAATGCTCAGAGTTTATGTTTTCAAAAGGAAGAACATCCGCTGACATCCATGAAAATCAAAGGGAATGTCCATTCTAAAGTCCAATGTTTCTCCATATGTCTTGGTTTTTAAGAAAAAAAAAAAACTTTTATTGTCTACAACAGGAGCTCAAAAACTGTACATTTTCATCTTTCTGTGTAACAAGCTCTTGTAAGAAAAATCTTACAGCTCACTTTGTTGTTTCAAAAGCAGAATTGATTATTCAATGTATCATAAAATCCCACAATTCCCATGGAAATGCATTAACTTGCAATATAAAAAAAATCTCATTAGGGGAATCTGCTGTATTGGCTCATATACCACTAATGAATGTAAATTTCCTGTTGGTCAGGTCTTTGATGTCTTTTCCAATGCATGATTACCATCTTGATGGTCCAGATCATCTCATTTCCTCACTTAGGAAAATATCTCGCAGATCATTTCAGGGCCATCCATACTTTTCAGTCAAGAACGATGAGAATAAAATATAAATAATGCCCCAACATGACATTCTGCCAGCAGTTTATGGGCCAGATAAGCTTAAAACTCAGTTGTAGAGATCTGGGTTACCTCGGACTGCGGGTCTTTCTGTGTACTAGGAGTCATCCGGTCCAGGTCTAGTCATGTGGGCTGCTTGATTGATTCTGATTTGGCGCAGACAGAGATGGGCTCTCTGATGACGCTGCGGGCTTTGGAAAAGCTGTTCTGCTCTATGCGAGTGCGAAAAGGCAAGCAGAACTCTCTGAAGCACCTCTTGAAGTTCTCATCTAGAAAAGCGTAGAGGACCGGGTTGAGGCTGCTGTTCATGTAGCCCAGAGCGATGCACAGATGCCAGCAGGCCACCACCAGCAGGTTCTTCTGGTCGATCTCTACCACTGTCTTGACGATGATGAAGATGTGGATGGGGGTCCAGCAGATGATGAATGCCGCCACCACCACTAAAACCATGCGGGTGATGCGCCGGAGGTTCCTGTCCTTCTCTTTGGAGCCGGAGAGCAGGCGCACGCTCTTCAGCCGCAGGATCATCAGGCCGTAGCAGACGGTGATCACCAGGACGGGAAACACAAAGGCAAAAATAAAAACGCAGATTTTGGTCACTGTATCCCAGTACCATTCTGGGTCGGGGAATTTCAGCATGCAGATTGTTTTGCCTGAGAAAGAAGGACATATTAATACAATTATTAATGTTAATGTATTGATAAAGTTATTAGTGATCAGTTGTGTTTTAATTGACAGAATTGTTATTTCCTGTCCTTGAATCTGATTCTAAGGGCACTGAGAAATGTCATACCATGATCAGTGAAATACATTAGTATAATTTGTAACCCTGGACCACAATACCAGTCATAATTGTTTTTGGAAATTGGGATTTATACATCAAACTTAAATCAACTTTCCATTGCTGTATGGTTTGGCAGGATAGGACAATTTAGGTGAGATCCAGAAATCTGGAATCTGAAGGTGGAAAAAATTTTTGAAAAAATCAACTTTAAAGTTTTTCTAATTAAGTTCCTAGCAATGCATATTACTATGCTATTACAAAAAAATAAAAATATATAAATTTACTAAATATTTTTCGAATTTTGATACATGCAGGGCTGGGTGATTTGGCCTAAAATCAGCATCCGCTGCGTAAAACATGCTGGATAAGTTGGCCGTTCATTTTGCTGTGGCGACCCCAGATTAATAAAGGGACTAAGACAAAAAGAAAACGAATAAAGGACTCTATCTACTATCTATCTATGATTATTTATTTAACATCAACATCGAACAGCTGAAAGTAAAGTACACATTGCCAAAAACAAAGTCACTTTCTTATAAAAAAAGCGAAAATAAATAACCTGCACTTTTAAAAACTAAATTAATTCATATTAAAAGTAGAACATAAGCAGTATCTCTTCTAAACAAAATAACTGTTGTATATCCTGTAAATAATATTTTAAACAGGGAATTTTTTGCATCTTCTGTAAACAAACCTTTGAATGTAAATAATAATTTTAGTGTAATGGAAAATATGCTGTCTCATGGCATCTCTGGTGCAGCTTCCAATCATCCTTAATAAAGTGCAATGACGTGTAGTTACATTTTTTGAGAGGTGCCGGGGTATGCAAGCATGCAAACTGTGCGCCAGATCATTCCCTTGCATATAAATCACACAGAAGTATAAATCAGCCTGACCAGAGCAGGGTCACATGACTCAATTTCGATTACTTTTCAATTAATTGCCAAGCCTTAATGTCGCCACAAATATATATTTGAATAGCAGACAGTTTTGTGGTTCAGGCCCACATGCTGTATATGTTATGTAAATATATAGTTGTACAATTTAAAAAAGTGGCAGTGAAAAGTTACATTTTTAAAGTTTACATTTTTTTTTCACATCACAAAATACAAGATAAAAATGATTAGGATTGTTTTAGGATTGTTTTGTTTTAGTATTTAAAAAGCCAGTATTTATAGATGCACTGATTATTTTTTTGTAAGGACATGAAAGCTTATGATCTGACAGCTGCAACTCTGTCCTAAAATAGTTGATTAAAACTTTTTAAAATAATTGTCTTGTTGATCAAAACAAATTAAGTTGTAAATGCTCAACCTTTTTCATACGCCTTGTTCTTAGCTTTTACCTATAAATGTTGATCAGTTTACTGGTAATTTTCTGTGAAGACACTAAGTGGTTGTTCTCACAGAATAAAATGAAACAGGCTTATCAGCAGTGCGGTGCAAAGTAGAAGGGCTTTATTTGGAGAAAATATCCGCCTGGATGTACTTTATCCTGCTTATTACATGGCTACTTACCACAAAATGTAAAATGTAGGCAAAACATTGTTTTGAGCCTAAAAAAATGTATTAATAAGTATTTAATTCTTTAATTAACTGCAATGCTGACATACATGAAAATGGCTGAATGGAGCATACACTAACCTACTTATTATTCAGCCACAAGATTGTGCCAAACAGTCCAAAACAGCCATGGAGACAGACAAGCATATAAATATAGATGTGAACCTATTCATTGACATTCAGTTAGTTTCACAGGGTATTTTCTGAGAATAACATACCTTGGAATGTTGAAAGTGACAAATCAGAATCAAGTATTCCAAACAATAGGGAATATCTGATGATGGCTATTTGAATTATTATAAAATAATACACACTACGATGTAAAGCAAAGTAAGGTGTGAATTATTTTCTAATAATACAGTGGCTCAGAGTCAATTATTCTGCCTTAACAGTCGGTTACCACACCTAAAAACATTTTTCAGATCATGTATTTAAAGCATTTGTCCAGTTTTTGTCCTTAAAACTCTTGTATGTAATACTAGTTTCTTACACATCTCATCCCAATGCTTTTGTTTTGATTTTTGATCCATTATGCAGTCAGATTCTAGCAATAGTATGATAATAAATAGTGCACTTCTTTTGTCCTCACCTGAGTCTAATTCTTTAGTAACAGCCATCACCATGACGGGGAAGCCGACAGCGGAGGACAGAATCCAGACGCAGATGTTGATGATCTTGGCTTTGACAGGCGTGCGGAAGTCCAGGGCCCTCACCGGATGACACACGGCAATATAGCGGTCCACACTCATCATCGTCAGCGTGAAAATACTGGTAAACATGTTGTAATAGTCAATAGCAATGACCACTTTACACAAGAGCTCGCCGAACGGCCAGGTGCCCATGAGGTATTTGGCGCTCTGGAAGGGCAATGTACTGGTGGCCAACGCATCTGCTAATGCCAGGTTGAAGATGTATATGTTGGTTGCGGTTTTCATCTTCGTGTACCTGTTTTTGGGGGACAAAAAAATAAATTAAAAAAGTTAGTGCTTGGGAGTCATATGGCAATATGGCCATATACAATTGAAGTCAGAAATATTATCCCTCCTGAATTATTTGCCTCGCTATTTAAAAAAAAAAAAATTATATTATATTTTTTTTCCCAATTTCTGTTTAATGGAAATTCATTCATTCATTCATTCATTCATTTTCTGGTCGGCTTAGTCCCTTTATTAATGCGGGGTCGCCACAGCGGAATGAACCGCCAACTTATGCAGCCGCAACCCATCTCTGGGAAAGGAAAGAAGTTCATAATTGCATAATTAGGCAGGTTAGTGTAATTAGGCAAATCACTGTATAATGATATTTTTACCTGTAGACAAAACAAAAACAATTCTTGAGGGTGCTAAAAATGTAGACCTTAAAATATATATATATATATATATATTTTTTTTTTTTTTATGAAAAACTGCTTTTTTTAATCTGAAAAATTCCTAAAAGTTCTTAACATGATTCCTAAATTTAAAAAAAAAAAAGTTGAAGTCAGAGTTATTAGCCTAAAAACTGGGCCGAATACAAGTGTCTTGAAAAAAATCTAGTGAAATATTCTGTACTGTCATCATGGCAAAGATAAAAGAAATCAGTTATTTGAAATCAGTTATTAAAACTATTATGTTTAGAAATGTGTTGAAAAAGTCTTCTTTCCATTAAACAGATAACAAATATACAGGGGGGCTAATAATTCAGAAGGGCTAATAATTCTGACCAACTGTATATCGTTCTCATGATATGAGTTGACATTGTCAGATTTTTGTCATATCAACAAGCCCTAGTTTGAGCTGTCTGATAATGATAAATTTGCACCTGGGTTTGATATGAGCACTCATGAACAGAGAAGCAGATGAATGCGCTCATGAAGCGTGATTTGAGGATTTGTTTGGCTCTGCCCTTATTATAAATATAAAATATGATTAAGATGATAATCAAATTCACAAACGGAATTATGTGCCTAACTGACAACCTTTCACTCTCTTTCAAATTTTAAATCCTGACACTTAAATGTTAACATGTTTAAAGAGGGGCAGATGTAGAACTCTGGCATTTTTTATTAGGTAAAAATGTTTAAGTATTCACTTATGAGTGTACACTGCCTATTTATTTATTCACTCAACAGACTGTACACAGTCTATTATTATTATTATTATTTCCAAAAGTTTTAGTTCTCTTTTATGAAGTTCATTTTGAAGATAGTAAAACAATTTTGCATTTATTATTTTAAAAATGTATTAATTAATTAAGATTTCATTATTGTAAATACTGATTATTTATTATTTATAAAAACAAATTAAGAAATATGTTAAATTATATATATTTTAGTCATGTCATAATTTTAATTATTTTATCATGTAGCGCTATTTTTTATTTATTATATACTTTAAATTGATATGATTAATTTAATAATTCATTATTAAACATTATAATTTATTATTTTAGTAAAATGAATAATTAATTATTATTTTCACAACTTACACTACTAATCATATGTAGTTAACATTATTAAAAAACTGTCATATGTTAAATTATATAATTATTAACTATATAACTTAAAAATAATAATAGTAATAGTAATAATATTTATTTAAATAGAATTAAACCATTAAGTATTACAATAATAATACTAATATTAGAACCAATAATAATTTCTAATTATTATTATTATTATTAGTAGCAGTAGTAAAATGTTTATCAACAATATTTGTAAAGTTGTTGTATGAATAATTTTATTATTATTATTATTGTCATTATTATTGTTGTTTTTGTTGTTGTTATTATTATTATTATTACGTTTTTCACAGTGGCTTTGGTGCTTTTCTCACAACACTAGTGCATTTCTGCACAACAGTTAATACATTTCTCAAAACAATTAGTACAAACTGCAAACCCTAATTGATAACCTGCAAATCTGAGTACAAGACACTGAATGTGTATGTTTCACATTTTTACTGCATGTACTGTATGTATTCACAGCATTGTGCAAAAAAAAGAATAAATACACCCTTATTTACAACAAACATAAACTTCCTTTGGGTAGAGCTGTGCACAACTGTAAACAATATTGCAGTACATATTGGAACTGAACCTACAACATACACATGTCTATAAATCATTCATCAAATTGTTCAATTTAGTAGGCATTTTCAGGAAAATAAAGATTTACATTTTTTATATAAAATAGTCTTTTTCTATATCTGTCTTTTTATAGACAGATTTTGACAGCTAGTTCAACATTTTTGTATCTAATAACTCAAGTAATAAAATTAAGACTATTAGTTTAATATGGAATGACTATTCAGCATTAACAAGTCCAGTTCATTTTGACTGATATGACATAAGCAGATGATAATGTTATAAATAGCAGAGAGTTGTATGAAAGCAATTGATGCATGGCCAAAAGCATCTGCAATGTGTTGGAAAGAAATAAGAATCTGCTACTAGGATGTGCACAAATGACTAATTGTTTTGAGAAATGCATTAACTGTTGTGTAAATGTAAATAGTGTTGTGAGAAATGCCCCAAAGCCACTGAGAAAAAACTGTAATGTTGTTAACACGTGTATTTATTGTACACCATTCCCTAGCAGTGGCAACAACATGCTCTCATTAAATGAGCCTCTTTCTGATATCATATTTTAATCAGCTTTTCAATTTAAATTTTTTCTTCAAATTGAATGATGGTATAAAAGGATGCAACTATCATTACTAAAGAAAAGACCACGGTGAAGGCATAAATTGAAATCCATTGATTATGCTCCCTTGAATTAGTCTGGTTGCCCACACACCGCCTTCTCTTTTGAGGACTTGACATTTGAAGTCTCACAGAGCTGAAGAGAGAAGACGACGCATCCATTAGTGACACTGCAGTTTATCCCTTTCTTTGCGCATGGGCTATACGTGTGGCGAGATGAATAAATCCATTATTATAAGCTCCATTAAGTCTTTTGTACTGAGTGCATAACATGTTTTTGTTGTATATCCGTGACTCATGTTTGCATCTTTCAATATTGGCTCGCTATGTTCAGTCCAGTTGTACTGTAATTGCCATCAATCATGGTTGTCATGCTAAATTAAGATATACTTTTCTTTCCAAACTCTCAGTGGTGCGTGGGGATCATTTTGTATGCAATTTGTTTTTCTGTCATTAGAAAACCACAGAAGAATATACAGAAAATTTCTAATATGGAAAACTATGGAAAGTTTCTTTAGATTTACTGGATTAATTCGATTAAAAGGTCTAATGACAGTTTCAATTAAACATATTGTGGTTTAAACATTTTCTTTGTCAGAAAATGACAGCTGGTCAGAAATAAATGTTTTCAGTTGTTGTGCTTAAACATCATGCTCATCTCACCAAATATCAATTTCTTAACTCTACTTAAAGTTGGTATTGTGCTGTCTAAAAATGAATATAAACAGTGTGTATTGAGATATACAATATGTACATATCATTCAGTAGAAAAGAAGGATGTTTGGAAGGAGGGATGTTCGGAAGAAAGAAAAGGAAGGAAGGAAGGAAAGAAAGAAGAAAGTTCGGAAGAAAGAATGTTTGAATGGAAGGCAGTAAGGAAGTTCGGAAGGAAGAAAGGAAGTATGTTCAGATGGATAGACTTTCGCATATTTGATAGATGGATTGATGAATGAAATATAAAAGAGTATGGATGGATGAATGGATGAAATACAAGAGATTGGGTATGGATGGATGGATTAAATACAAGAGAGTGTGCGTGTGGAAGAATGGATGAAATACAAGGGAGTATGCATGGATGAATGGATGAAATACAAGAGATTACGTATGTATGGATGGAATACAAAAGATTATGAATTGAAGGATGGATGAAATACAAGAGATTATGGATGGATGGATGGATGGATGGATGGATGGATGGATGGATGGATGGATGGATGGATGGATGGATGGTTGGATTGATGCATAGATGGATGGATGAAATACAAAAGATTATAGATGGATGCATGGATGGATGGATGGAATACAAGATTAATATGGATGGATGGATAAATGGATTGATGGTTGGATGGATGTGTGGATGGCTGGATGGATGGATGGATGGATGGATATAATAAAAAAAGATTATGGATGAATAAAATACAAGAGATTACGGATAGAAGAAATACAAGAGATTATAGACGGACGAACGGACTATTTTTAAAATGTTTCATTTTTTTTTTGTTCATCATGAAAACTAATGAATTAAAGTATGGGGGATCTTTGATGTGGATGCAATCTAAAGCGCATTCAGTTCAAGCTCTCTGTCTGCAATTGAAACTTTAGGGAGAATTATTAATGAGTTCTTTTCACATCAGACTTCCTATTGTACAGCTTGTGCCTTCCAGGCTTTAGTGGCTGATATGCTTTAATACGCTCTCTTCTGCTACATTTTTTTTTCTGTCTCCAAATGGGAAAAGGCATCTGTGAAAGGTAGGCAATCCAGACATCGTGAATATGATTAGCTCATTCAGACTTTTCCTCTTAGGCAGTGGCTTTGCGCTCCTGAAGATATGTGCTGTGAATAGATGAGAAAGATGTGATCTGAGCCACTCTGAAAGAACGTGCTGCTAAAAACTCTATATTTCAATGCAATCTTTTCTTGGGTTTTCTTCCCACTTGTGTCTTTTGACTAAAAAGGCTAAAAAAAATCTATAAAATTTCTATTTGTTCTCTCATATTTTAACATGAAACCTTCAAACAATATTTAGCATTGTGCAATATTCTCACTACTGATATGTTTTGAGTTGTCATTATTCTTCATTTTTAGAATTGATATTCTTCCATTTTAGATCATTCTTACAGAATTCTAATCATTTCATATTCGGAACTCATGCAAAGTTCAATATGGAATCCTAAATAAAGGTTTCTTTGAAATAGTTTTATAAAATACAAACAGAATTCAGTAGTTTCAAATTTCACACTGCTCATATTTGATTAATTTAATGTAGGTGTAATTTTGTCAAGTTTGATGCAATCATGGATTAACATCTATATTGATCCTTGAAAGTCATTTTTGTTTAAAAATGTTATCCATACCTAATCCCTAAACCTAACCCTAACTGTAACTGTAAATAATTCCCAAAACTAATAACTGCAAGGCTAAACTTAAAGTGCAGTAGGTGATTGTCTTCAGAAATCTTTTTTTTGTTTTGTTGTTGTTGTGCTGGTTGAAAGTCTCTTACATTCCAATAGTAATGATCAAAGTAAATGATCTAAATGTATTTATATGTATTTTTATATTCTGGGTATGGCATAAGACAAAAAAAATCTTCAGTCAATTAAATGTTGTCAGGTTCATAATTCTAATAAATTGCCAAACCGCCTGTCAACAAATGTAGATTTGTACATCTGCATAGCACATTCGTGCAGATCCACCATTTGCACATGCAAGTGTGCTGCATTCATGTGCACATGAGAGAAAGTGACAGCGATAAAAACAAATGCTGAAGCAAAACTTTTTAAAATCCTGAATCAATATTGGATTTACTTTTGCACGGTGTAGGAAGGATGACTAAAGTATTCCTTTTGGACAGGTAATGTTTTTAATCACGCAAAGCTGATGTAGATTTTGTTGTTAGGAATTGGGGATATGCACAGAAGTGTTGTTCAGTCACTGAAATCTTCCGGCAAAATACTGATGTATCTATTTTCAGTTTCATAAGGGACCTTTTACTGCATTAATAATGAAGATTTTTATTTAGTTTAACAACAAAACATCAGTAAATAGTGCTATTTCCCAGCCTGTTTAATTGAGCTGAAGTTGGTTTTATATTCACATTGTTTCATTTTTGAACAATGACAACCAGTGACGCTCTCCCTATAATGTTTACCATGCTGCTCTAAATAGTCGTCTGAAATAGCATGTAAGTATGGCTTAGTAATAAGTGTAAATCATGCACACCACCAGCCAAGCACTAAGCATACAGTAGTCGCTTTAGGACAAAGCATGTGAGCGAGTGAGACCAGCGATCCTTGCAGGTATGAAATATTGCACATTATGACAAGATTTGCTTGCTACACAGCTGAAAACATGCTAGATATAATACAGTTTTTCATTTGGTAGGGGTTTTATAAAGTACTATAAAGTTTTCTAACTGGTGAATGACATGATCAAATGGGTTGTTTGCTGTCATCTTTAATGTTGTTCCAGGAACATGTCCTGAAGAAATTAGATCACACAAACCTGATATTTAAGACTGAATTTTTTTAATTCCTGAGTTAATGTCCTTCATTTTTTTCAGTCACACAACTTCTAACCAGTGTTGAGTGTAATCAAATTACTTATCCACTGAAAAAATTTAAAGTAATGGATTACCATTCAATTTTAGATCATTTAATTACAGTTGCTTTAAATAAATTCATTCATTCATTTTCTTGTCAGCTTAGTCCCTTTATTAATCTGGGGACGCCAAAGCGGAATGAACCGCCAACTTATCCAGCACATTTTTAAGCAGCGGATGCCCTTTCAGCCGGAACCCATCTGTGGGAAATATCTACACACACACACACACACTCAAACACTACGGACAATTTAGCCTACCCAATTCACCTGTACCGCATCTCTTTGGGCTGTGGGGGAAACCGGAGCACCCAGAGGAAACACACGCAAATGCAGGGAGAACATGTAAACTCCACACAGAAACACCAACTGAGCCAAGGCTCGAACCAGTGACCCAGCGACCTTCTTGCTGTGAAGTGACAGCACTACCTACTGCGCCACTGCATCACCTTAAATAAATTCAACAGTTCTGAATTATTCAGTTTAGAGAAGCAGACTTGACTGAACAGAAATTGTCGAAAATAAATGGCAACATATTTTCCATAAGTCTTGGACAATTTCCCCTCAAATGACTGTTTATGTAGAGTGGGCTGTGTTTCTGTGATTGTCTTCAAAACATGTGAACAAGAAATGTGGGATTGGCTGTCGGTTGCTAAGCATCGAGCTGTAACATTGTAATACGGCATCATTCACACATACTGGAGTGGGATTTCATAACTCTGGGCAAAAAGCAGTTGTAATTTTAAAATCTTAAGTGTGTAATATTCCTTTACCAAGGGATATTTAGAATGACTATGATTTGAAAATACTTAAATGGTTCTTAATAGCTATGTGAAAATGTTAATACAGTGTTTGTTTAAAATGTGGGTTGCCCCAACACAAACCGACTAAGTTAACATTATTGTTTTTACAAATTTGAGTGGATTGAACGTGAAACACTTAAGTTAGCCCCCCCCAAATAAAAATCAAGAATTGTGTTAATTCAGCTCATTTTAAATAGTATGAACAAGTAGTTTGTGTGTGTGTGCAGCTGAATAAACAATTTTTAAAAATAAATAAATATATATATATATATATATATATATATATATATATATATATATATATATATATATATATATATATATATATATATAATTCATACTATAAACATTTAGAAAACTGCTTGCAGAAACCCTAATATTTATGCAAAACAAAATGTTGTAAATGACTCAAAGTTAACCTTTTGGTTTTTTTTTTTTTTTATAAATGTACAGCTTCTATTGTTTAAGAAACCTCTCCAAGAACTTTTAGAAAGATTATTTAGAGGCTCTACACTGACTTTGCCAAGAAGCTCCAATTTGTGTCTCTATATTTACATTTTTACAGTGATGAAAATGAAACCGTATACTAACCAATTACTCACCCTCAAGTTGTTACAAACATTTATGAAATTCCTTTTTGGCTGTTGAACACAAAAGAAGACATTTTGAAGAATGATGGAAACCAGTCACTGACATCCATAGTAGGAAAAAAGTCAGTGGCTACCACGTTCCAGCATTCTTCAAAGTATTTTATTTTGTGTTTAACAAAAAACAAAAACTCAAACAAGATTGTAACAAGTGGAGGATTAGTAAACAATGAGGTTAATCAAGGTTCATTTTTGGTGAACTATTGCTTTGAAGTAGTTCCAAATATGATTATATCAATGATTAGAAATGTCTTTTTTGTTGTTATTGCATAACATAAGTACTTTGCTTTTGTGAAGCTGAAGTCACAATCAGATAAAGGGAATGATAGATCTATCTATCTATCTATCTATCTATCTATCTATCTATCTATCTATCTATCTATCTATCTATCTATCTATCTATCTATCTATCTATCTATCTATCTATCTATCTATCTATCTATCTATCTATCTTTCTATCTATCTATCTATCTAGCCTATCTATCTCCACCCATCCATCCATCTTATCATCTTTCTTCTTTCTTTCTGTTGAGGATCTAAACAATCGAATCTGGCTGTTAGCTCTTACGTTTGATCTTTATATTATACAATGCTCTTCCAAGCCCCTGAGCTAAAATGATATAAACTGTGTGTGCTATAATTTACACTGGCTCTGCATCTTTTCTGTTTCAAAGATGCTGAGTTTTACGCGGATGAAAATCAACACAATCTCTCTCAGTCCTTCATCTTCCACCATTTGATCAGATTACAATCGAAACTCGATAACCACTGCAATCTATGTACAAGACCACATTACTGAAGTTCAAACGAAACCTATATATAAACAGCAGACCTGTTTTCATGTCAATTATTTTTGATTAGGCACTTGTAAGGTACCAGCAAAGTTTGGGCAAAGTGGGTCATTTCAGAAGCTGTGTTGTAAAACAAATAATGAATGATTATCCTTATTCCAAAAAGGTTTAAAGTACATATCTTAATCAATGAAGTAGTCCTCTTACCTGACCACTCCGTACATAACCAGCACATTTCCAACGAGTCCCACAACGCAGATGACCGAGTATAGCGCAGTGATGGAGACAGCGATAGCGACCGCACTGCTGCCTCTCACCGCCTTCAGCTCACTGCTTCCTCCGCTCCAGTTGGACAGAAGTCCCGCAGGCTCCTCCAGAAAGCTCGAGTTGTGCAGAAATAAAGGATAACGCTCGGAAAAATCGCTGACAGTCACTGTTGGAGGCTCCATTATGCTCGTCCCCTATATGTCGAACGCCTTCTAATTAAGTGAAACTGTAAAATGTTGAAAGTGTTTGTTTAAAATGAAAGGTGTAAGATCATGAGCAGCAGATTTAAGGACATCAACTCCACTAGTCACTTTGCGCGGCTCTCCTCTTCTCTCCTCGGGAGCGCACTCGACTTTCAACTGCGCGCGCTGCTGTGCACGCGCTCGTACTTTCTCTCAAAGTGAAGTCCATTTGCGTGGAAAGACTAGTAGAACACATGCTATTTACATCACCCGCGCACAAAAATCTCTCTCAACATACTGTAAACAGTGGAAGTTTTTTTTTATTTTTTTAACCGTGAAGAGGGCGTTTTTGTAATATTTTCCATGTCATGTTTTACATGGTTTGCTTGTCTAAAAATCCTTAAGGATTCCAATAGGATTTCTTTATATGACTCCATTTAGATTTTAAATCATACTTTGGAACCCTTATGTGATTCCAATATGATTTTTCGTATAAGATTTTTACAGTATTTTAATGAGATGCAATTTTCTATCCTAATTCCTAAAGATATGATTATCTATTGTATCTATAAGCCTACTGTACTTAAAATAGTTTTGAATGTATTATGCAGTTTTCTAAAGCTTACCTTGATGTACTTGAGTGTACAGTATTAGTGTGCAAATTTCCAAACAAACTAGGCAAAAAAAAAAAAAAAAAAAAAATATATATATATATATATATATATATATATATATATATATATATATATATATATATATATATATATATATATATATATATATATATATATATATATATTTCCATGCTGGCAGACCAAACTGTGGGTTGGCCCACACAAAACAGAGCACAATTGAAGTCCACTGTAGGCCCATAGCAAGTGGAGTGTATATGGGCACACTGAGTAAAATATAGGCATACTGGGGCACAGTATCTGAGTCAGAAGTATACCATGCATTGTGGGTATTTATTAAATAACAAAATAAGTTAGGTCCCACTACTAAGTTGAGTCCAGGCACAAAATGCGCCTATAAGGTCCCAGTAAAGCACTCATACAAAGAAGTATGGTTATGAACATGCAGGGTCATTGTGGTTTAAACAGAACAAAGCTAGTTCACTTCTACTTTTAAGCAAAATAGCACAATATTCTGTTGCATAACTTCATATTTTGAAAGTATAAAATGTAAAGTCAGTAAATGAAGCCATAAAGACAATATGGACTATTTTATAAAGGTTGGGGACAAGACTGCTTTATTTTGTAAAAACGCAGATATAAAAACAACCTTCTAAATAATTATTTCTTTTTAAAATGTGAACTTTTACATTTATTTTGTTAAAATAAAATTTATGCCAATGATGTTAAAGCTGTATTTGAAGCATTTGCAGCCTACATGAAATCATTCTAAAATCATGATTTGGTGCTTAAAAAATAATTTTATTTTATATTAACCTAAAACTACTTGTGCATTTGACTGTTATTTTATGTTTTGTGTTAGAATGTAAAAGTTATCCATGTCACATATATGAACAATATTCTAAAAGCAGAAGTATTAAACCCCCTTTTGAATTTAATTTCTTTTTTTAAGCATTTGCCAAATGATGTTTAACAGAGCAAGGAAATTTTCACAGTGTTTGATAATATTTTTTTCTTGTGGAAAGTCTTATTTGTTTTATTTCGGCTAGAATAAAAGCAGTTTTAAACAAAATTATTAGCCCCTTTAAGCTATTTATTTTTTGATAATCTACAGAACAGACCAGCCCAGTTACCCTAATTAACCTAGTTAAGCCTTTATGTTTGCCATGACGACAGTAAATAATATTTTACTAGATATTTTTCAAGACATTTCTATACAGCTTAAAGTTAAAGTAAATCAGTTATTAGAAATGAGTTACTAAAACTATTATGTTTAGAAATGTGTTGAAAAAATATACAGTAAATACAACTTTTTTGTTTTAATTAGTTACACTTTATGTTATTTACTTTATTCCTTTCTATAACCACACATGGACAGTAAGTAGAACCTTAACAGTGTTATAAAAGAGCCTTTAGCCCTCTTGCTGCCTGTATGCCTTAGCTAGAGAGTTACATCAAAAGCATGCATGATGTGTTAATTGCGCACATTAGGTACACAATTAGGCACTGAACATGAATAAATACATGACGTAAGAAGCATTAAATGGGATTCAATTTTTGTGAAATACCCTTTTCCGCAATATCCTCTTGTGAAATAATTAACAACTTAACAAATTAACATCTAAAAAATGACCCTATTAGACAAAATGAATTGTTCAGTGCAATTTGTAAACTCATTTAACAGGGTAAAATTAAGCGCGTTCATAAATTAAACAATACTATCTTGTCTCTGAGCAGGTGACAATTTCTTTAATTCAAAATAACTGCTCAGCTTCAATCACAAAATGGAGGAAAAACATAGCCTACAATACAGTGTCTATCTATCTATCTATCTATCTATCTATCTATCTATCTATCTATCTATCTATCTATCTATCTATCTATCTATCTATCTATCTATCTATCTGTCTATCTGTCTATCTGTCTGTCTGTCTGTCTGTCTGTCTGTCTGTCTGTCTGTCTGTCTATCTCTCATCCATCCATCCATCCATCCATCCAATCCAGAAGCACAGCCTGAAAGAGAAAAATGAACCTAAACACACAAATTAGTGCTCAAACTGTTGACTTATGAATATTAATGATTATCACCCCTGCTTAATCTTTGCCATTTTTTAAATTCGAGGGGTTGTAGAATCTTGACCTTGCTGCGTTGAGGTGACGGATTTGTCAAGATTGCAATTTTGCCAGGCATTGCTTCTGGCTTTATTTCCTGAAAAACAGGACACCATCTGGAGGCTTGGTATTTAAGTCATAGCAGCAAGCTGTTAGTGCATGTTGTTTTGGTAGCTTTTAAGACATTATTGTCTTCATTCAGCTTGTGGTAAGCCAGTACATGTCAGATCTTTCTGTCAACATTAATGCATGATACCAAGTAAAATTTTTCATATATAAAGGGATAGTTTACCCAAAAAGGAAAATCGACTCATTATTTACTCACTATTAATACCTATACTTTATTCTGTTGATCACAAAAGAAGATATTTTGAATAAAACCGAAAGCCTTTAACCATCAATAGTAGGAAAAAAAAGAAGATATTATGGAAGTCAATGGATACAGGTTTTCAGCACTCTTCGAAATATCTTCCTTTGTGTCCAACAGAGAAAAAAAAAATCTTAAACAGGTTTGAAACAACTAAAGGGTGAGTAATTAATGACGGAATGATCATTTTTGGGTGAACTACCCCTTTAAATGCAAACTTTAACTGGTTTACTGTTAGTACGCTACTGTCTATCAGGTGCTTAGGGGCATAATATATCTAGAAGTTATTTTCCCACTGAGATTCCACTTACAAAAAGAACATCAAACCTCAGGAGTAAATTTGCAATCAGCTCACATTTTGATAATGAAATCCTGTTCGGCTGATTACATGATCAGTTCAATCAAAAAGATTCTTCATTGGTCTGTGGCTTCAAGTGGCTGGGGTTGTGCGGAAATGAAATTACGTAACAGAGGAGAATCAAATACAAGCACTTGACAATATCCTCCCTGATGCCTCTAATAGGTCCCTACTGCAGTAACACTGTACATTTTATCCAAAATTCGCAATGAGGGATGAAAAAAAGTCAAGGCTAAGCTCTGCATCTCTTAGGGGACATGCCGATTACACTGGAGCATGTTAAAACCGATAAAATAAACACAAATTAGTGTTTTTGTGATGAAATACATCTGCAACCCTTTTACTGTTTTGAAGATTACTTTTGGGTTCATTTTTGACTTACATAAAACAACATTAAATGAAGCTTATTTATAAACTAATTTCGAAAGGAACACCGGCTTATGATTGATCACGGCTGGTCCCGTATTAGCCAATTCATGATTTACCAATCAGACGATTCCTAAATCACCATGAATAACCTAAGTGCCATACCACAGTCATCATCATTTTGAAGAATCCCCTCTTCCACCCCTACTTCTCCTAGATAGGCGGCACGACGGCCCAGTGGTTGGCAATGTTGCCTCACAGCAAGAACGTCACTGGTTCAAGTCCTTAACCAGGCCACACGTTCTGTGTGGAGTTTACATGTTCTTCCTGTGCTCGTGTGGGTTTCCCCTGGGTCCCTCGGTTTCCTCCCACTATTCAAAAACATGCGACAAGTTAATAGACTAATTCCAATCAGCTCCAATTGTGGTACTAGTAAGTAGTTGTCTCTCCATAGCAATTCCTAATTGTTCATTAACTACAAACAGCAGGGGAGTTCTTGAGATCTACCTGAGCACAAACTCCCCTCTCACCCTGCAAACAGTAAGAGATCAGGGCTCTCCCCCAGGACAGCATGCAAAACATTCTTTATAACCAATTATTAGCTAACTGTGAACTCTTAGAAAATAAAATTGCATGTGCACTGTTAAAAAAAAAATCTATAAAATTAATGATGAAAAACCAGCAGCTGTGACTGTTTACAGTTAAAAATACTTTCTTAAAATATTTCTTTCATTTATACACTCTAAAAAGTCTAAAAATCTTTAGTATTTTGTTATTCATGTGTTATTGTTTTTAATGTTAAATTAAACATTTCAAATCATTGCATTGTGGGAAATTGATCTTTCCTCCTAAGCGTTTTGATGCTGAAAAAAAAGTGACTTTTATTGACATTTTAAATAGTTTAAAATTATATTTTGTCTGTATTGTTGTTGTAAATTACAATACAAAAACCTTTTAACCTTTTCTGTTATTTTACTGACTTAATTCTCTATTTTATTTATTATACATGTTGTTTCAAACTACAAACATTTTTTGTTCAGTCACTTTTATAAAATGCACAGTTGAACTTTAATCACAAAAAAAGTTGACAGAGCAGAGGTCAACATCCCATAATACAATTTATACAGTAAACAAAAATAAAACATTTGTAAATCACAAAATGCGGAGCATGTTAATAACAGATATTCTTACAAGGTAGTATATTGAAGTTCAAACATCTACACATCATACCTGTGTTTGTTACACAGACAAAAACACACAAATAATATAATGAACCAAAGCTCATCACAAAC